TCTTGACAAAAATAATTTCAAAAAGACCAATTAAACATGCTCAATTAAAAAATCTCCTAAGACACACAGGCTAATACAATTTCTTCTTCATTTTGAGACTAATTCTTTTTATAAAACCAATGATGATGTATTCATATGAATTTAGTTTATTAGCCAAAAGACTTATGCAAAGGATATAGAACATTATTATATAAGAACAGTACAGTATGTGTCTCTTAATTTGCGCGGAAAATATTTTCTCATTATAATTTTCAATTGAAGGCTAATGCCTGGCAAAGTCTGCAATTGAAACGGAATCATTCTTCAAGTTTATTAGTCCAATGCAGATAGTAAGTCTCTAAGTAAACCATTACACAATTCAAATATTGAACATTCTTTTTCACATCGAAGCAGAGAGTATCTTTTAAAGCAGATACATAGACTCACTGGTTTATCAATTATTTCATATGTTATTTTATTGATCATGTTTATTCATGGCGTTGTTATAGTTACAGAATAATTCACTGATTATCACAGATTATTGTAATATTTTTGTCAACATTCTTAACAGCAGTGGATACAGGAATTTGAAATAGAGTGGGCTGAGGGAGGAACTTTCACAGGCACTGTGATGTGTTTTGACTGAAAGAAAATTTATGATTATGCAATCTAGATGGCCGGAAATGGCACTCTCTGACATAAATATGATTATAATAATTGTTTTTTTTCCCCAATTTTTAAAATAATTTTGAAAAAATTGGTTCTGGGTGGCGGGGATGGGCCTGGGCTGGCTCAGCCCCCCCCCCCCACACACCCTTTAAATCCACCACTGCTTAATATTAATTTTGTTTATATATATAATATTTTATGTATAAAAAATAATATTTTATTTATTCTTTTGGCATGATATTGGTATTGTTAAACTCAAATCTCATTTTTATCGATGCACTACCTTTACTCATTAGAGCCTGTTTAAGTACTGTAGTTTTTAAGAGTGAAATTCACCTAAAAGTCATGTTTAGTATTGTAGGCATGAAGGAATGCGAAGGAGCTTTGGAAGGATACGTGTGCATATCCATGGAGATACATTACTTATATATCTATGACGTATCGTTGGTCAGGTTTAGGTCATAAGACTAGCCTCCATTGCAGGTGCAATTTTCTATTGTTTTTTTAACTTGTGTTCATTTGATGGCCTATTTTCTCCCATATAATTACAACAATAACTTACTTAAATATACAAATAAGTAATTGATATAGAATTTACTCAAGGAAAGAGAACATTCCGATACCGAGCATCAATGCTGTGGAATGGCCTTCCAGTAAATATTGGCAAATACTGTACTACCAAACTACAGATCAAGTTGATTTTCAAAACCTTTTATAATTTCTTATCTTTGTGCATTGTAAATTAATTATTTTTACCTCTTTTTTTATTTCCTTCATTATCTTATGTTTTAATTTATATTATGTTTACTGTACCAAATGTGGACTTCTTGGGATGCATGAGTACTTACATTGCATTAAATGAGCTTTCCAAAATAAAGAAAGATTTGTATTGTATTGTAATTTCATTTTACAATTTATTAGCACACATAACATACACTGTGAATTTTTGGATATACCAGAACTTGAAATTTTTTGGGTGTAAATTGAACCATACTCAAATACACGCCCCATTAATGTCACTGTAAATGTGGAACTACAACATATAGTTACTGTCAAATTGTGTCATTTTGTGATCATAAAAACTAATTAGAAAAAATGTGATTCTACTGGAGTTGAACATTAATAGAATGTGTTTAGAATGATGTTACTTTCATTAGATTTGTTTACAGTCATTAATAAGGGGGGAAGGGGGCATTTATTCGAGGGAGGCATTTATTCCCAATTTGGCTCTAGAAAGGCTGGAATATTCAAGGGGGTGTTTATTGAAAATTCTTTAAACCTACAGCAAAAAAAGATAAATAAATACCGTATTTTTTAAAATAAATACGGTATTTATTTATCTTTCTTTGCTGTAGGTTTAAAGAATTTTCAAGTGAAAATGGTAATTGATATTTGGTTTTAAATATATCTACCTCACAACCTCATGTTTTTTGTAATAAAGGCCTTTTAAATTATCAAAAAATATATGTATGTAAGATTATATATCCAGGGCAGATACAGAGAAAATTCTGGGTAGGGGCCATGTGACTTGCGAAGCACCACGCCTGGGGTGGTGGGGTGGGGGGTGTAGTATAGTTGATTATAAAATCAATATGAGTAAACAAATTACAACTTTTGTAGAGGTACCATGCAGAACGTATAACAGAATTTCATTCCTTCTCTCTTTTTTTGTTGTTGAGGGTGTGCTTTATCCCCCATTGCACCCTAGATCCACCCCTGTATATGCATTATGCTATATATATTATATATAGTTATGGGTATACTGTAAATATGATACCCATATTTGCATAATAAACATATTATTTTGTTTTACCTGCCAGTAGATAACTTGTTCATCTTATTAATTCACTATAATGCAAATCACATAGGATAATGTGACGTATATTACGGTAATTCCAATTTCCTTTTGTAATCTCCGTTTCCCCTGATTGCGAACACGTTTCCTTTTTCCCATACCTACTATTAGTGATGACATCTCTAAAGATGATACCAACACATGGAAGTCTTATGGAGTGCATTAAGAGTAAAATTGAGAGAATGGTAAAACCTAATATTAAAATATTAAATAAAATAAAATATTTATTTGGCAACGACACAACATAAATTAAAGTACAGATGAAATTTACGATGTTTATTATCATCAAAAAGTGGTATGTCATACCACACAATATAGGTTAACAGTATATATATATACTGTCTCTTATACACATCTAGATGTGTATAAGAGACAGGATTATGTTAGTTCAATACACATACACAAAAATCTTTCTCAACAATAAATGTCCCTGGGGCATTTATTTGAATAAATACGGTAAGAATATTTCTGACTCAGTTAAAGATATATGAACTACCTATAAGTTTGCAATTTCAGTTTATTTTGTATCTTCATTAATTATTTATTGTTTATTGATATTTATTTCAAAAGGGTAACTCTAAATATTCTGCTAAATTGCTGACTGCTGACTTGCATAAAATGGAAACATTTCAAAATTGCATTTTTCAACCGACACTACCAGTCATAGTTCATGAAAACTGTGCCACATAAAGTGTTCATATTATGAGAAGGAATTTAGCAGAAAAGATCCAATTTCAATCCGAATAAGGAATTAATAGAATTACTACTACCCCCTAACCCTACTTGCTCAATACCCTGTAATATAAAGTACTTGAATTAAAGCTAGAACTTCACTATCAGCAATTAACAGCCAATCGACCTCATTGTTTCCTCTACAGGGATTCCTCTTAGCTTGTCACTGACAGCCATCTTAACATCCAAGTGACCCATATTTCGCTATCACATGACCAGCATTTCTTTCACAACCACTTAGGGGGACGACTGCATAGCTCTGGCAGACCATGAGTTGTGTGTGATAAGGCTGGTGAGGGGCTTGGTTTGCTGTCTTCAAGAGTATGATAAGGGGGCTCAGGTGATCATATGATCATTTCAGGTCAGAATTACATGGTATGGTGGTGAAGTTAATTTATCTGCCAAAATCATGGGGTGTCTTCAGGGGTAAGATAAATGGTTAGTGATCATGTGAATATCTCAAGACACAATCAGATGTTGTGGCAATGAAGTTTATTTCTTTGGTTGTTAGTGAATCATGTCCCAAATGATAGCGTGTCAAAGCACAACCTCCCAGGGATGTGTTCCCAGTTTGTGTCAATTGTAGGTTAATTGCAGCACCATCTTAGGCCTCAGTTACTGTGTCTACATGGTTAACCATCTCTTTTTTTTTTATTATCCACCGCTTTTCTTCTGACTGTTTTCTTGTGTTGTTTTCCTCTTTCTATTTTGATGGTTTGTTTTGTAACTGTACCAGTTTCAAAACCAGTACTCAAGCATTGAAAGCAGGGATGGTGCCGGTGGAGGGGCCAGTGGGGGAGGGGAGAAAAAAATTACCTGTATTTTCAACTTATTATTAGACTCAAAAAATGAATTAATAAGCCTTTAAAAACAATAAATTATCATATTTTCCAGGTGATTGCCTCATGGATCACTTCCAAGATATTGAGCAATGCCTGACGTCCATTTACGCTCTTGTCAGGGAGTCGATCCCCTTTCGGTCAAATTCTGACGCCACCTGATTAAAAGTGCCTACAGTTTATGGTGTAGCATATGCATCATCCATGCCAGGATAATCGCCATCTGCTGCCCAGGGGCCTATTTTAGCCATGTGGTATCCAGGGCCCTAAAAAATCTAAATGAATATACAGTAAGCTGAAATTGAAATAAATCTGTTAGATAATAATTACTCTTTTTGACCTCAATTAAGTCCTCGAGAGAACTCAAAACCTACAATTAAGTGATTTTCCTTTCATGCTGTTTACAAACTCAATTTATCTTAATTTTCCATCCATCTTTGTAGGATAATTTTTCTTTCATTTTTAAAACCTGTCTGTAATGATTATGATAAGCTAGTGTTACCTTGATAAGAGCCATATTCCCTTTGGAATCCTCTACTCTCCAAATCTCAATCAGCCTACATATTTTTTTCACTAATGATTGCAAATAGGCTTAATGCAAAGTTTCTTTGAAAAAAAAACCAGTTGTATGCCCATATATAGTCATGATGTGTCTATATATGGTCATAATGTGATGTCACAATGACCATATTTAGGCATTTCATGAACATTTTTAAAAATTGCATTGTTTATATTGTATAGTATAAGTATTGTATAGTATATATATAAGTATTATATATAAGTATTGTATAGTATATATATAAGTATTATATATAAGTATTGTATAGTATATTGTATAGTATAAGTTTAGCTTCCAACTGAAATAAAAAAATTAAAAAAAACATTTAATGCCACTTGGAACAATTTTTTATTTTATAAAATTCATATAGTTTTGTGTGTATCCTTAAATTTCTTCCAATGTATTTAAGGATTTTTAGTAATAAAATTCATGTAAAAATAATTGAAAACTAACATTAGTTTCTGTGACAATTGTGATTACTGTCTTATAAACAACTATTTTTACTATTGTCATTGCCATCTCTGTTGCCATATTATATCAATTCTTTCCTTTCCTTTATATCTGTGTTTGAGGAAATAAATATATTATTATTATCTGATACTCTCAGAAAAGTATTTTTAAATCCTCAATGCTTAGACATAGGCAAGTAAATGTGTATCTGGATAACCCATTAAAGCTAGCAGTATAGGCCAGATCATTTCCGATGAGTTCCAAACATAACAAAAACAGAGGAATATGTACATTCAAGTGCCTTACACAATGACACATAGTGTACATAGACAAAGTAAAGTAAACAACATCATTGAGATGTAGCATTAAGTAGGGAGGTTGTTGTATATCCTTATTATCATAACAGTACCATATTACAACATTTTATAAGCCATTAAGCCACTATTGACATTGTGATCAATTTATGGATCAAAACATTCCATTTCTATATTCCTTGTAAAGGTCCTTAGATTGACTGGTAAACAATTGAGGGATTTTTTTTAAACAAAAAAATCTATAATTCAGCAAGAAATTTTGCTTTGCTCTGTGAGTCATTGAAAAATGCAATGTTCTAGTTGTTTTTTTTAATTTGTGGGGGAAGGGGTTGGGTGAGGATTCTAAATACATCTTTTTCTTTAGTCTGAATCAATAAACTTAGTGGTACCAAAACAATGCCAAAAAGATTTGATATGTTCCTGTCTTGTATTATTAGTTTCTTCAATGATTGTAAAATACCGCGAGCTATATGTAATTATCATTTATCAATCACAGTAAGTAAACATTAAGCTTCTTTCTCCACATATCAAATATTTCACATTAGCGTGGCTCGTCGACGTCTCTAATGGGTTAACTCACGTCTAATGGAAATCTGCAGGTTCCGTTTGATCACTATTGTCAAGATGAGGCTTGAAAGCTATTTACATTCGGCATCAATTTAGAAAATTATATTACGTCATGAAAGCGCATCCAGTCCATGAATACACATAACTAAAATTAAACCAATTACCAAGTGGTGGTCCAAAAACCTTATTTGGAGTTTGTAGAAGCCAAATGAGAATTATTCTATCTATTTTTGAAATTGGATAATTTTGTAGATCATATTTTCCTTTTCTCTCATTATTAAAAGGATGGTAATTTTTCTTAATATTCATAATCTCAATTAATTTTACTCAATTTGCGCTTTGTCAATTTACTCTGGATGTAGTAATGGAAACCAAAAAACCTGAGGTTTATTATTTCCAGTGGATTAGTGGTGATGCCAGGATTTGCTTAAGAAATAAAAAGTTATCGGACGGGGTGGGGTCTGACAAGCAAGGGGAAGGTGGGTCAAAGGTTAAGCTGAGATGTTTTTGAATGTACTGTACTGCCACATGCCCAAAATAAAACAAAAATTATTTTTTTCTCTTTTCTGGTCTGAGTTTTGGAAAACAGGCCTGGACTGTTCGACTGGCACTTAATCACCTACCCTACTCTGACACATCTTTTTAATATTGTTTGTTTTTTTCATTGTCTTACTAATACTTTATGGTTAATTTAGTTGAATGTAGTTTACTATATACCTACAATGTCTTTGCTCTTTAATATTAAAATTATATTT